TATATATATATACTTAGTACACGTTTCTTGTTAAAGGTGCAGTTCAGTATAAATATATGTATAAGGTGAATTGTATGGATATATTGTTAAAGGTGTAATTAGGTACACAGGAAGAATATGTTAACTATTCGCGAACATATCCGTGCACTCCAGATTAGAGCCAATATCACGACCTCTTCAGAGCGAACACTTTGACCCGACAGTAGGGAACTACATACAAACACAACTTGTAAACCTGTGGCAGTGACAATATTCAACATAAACGCACACTTTCAAACACAGGTACAATCCAGAAATAGCTCCGTTTGGATGTGTATTTGTACTTTGTTTTAGCGTACCTGTACTTTCGAGGCCAAAGTCATTGTCTCGGCATCACACGAGCGACTGCTTTGTCCCGAATGAGGAAACTACATACCAACACAACTGGAAAACAAACTATATACCAACACAACTGGAAAACTTATGATATCACTCGACACACGAGCGTACTTTCAGTATCCAGGAATAGCTCTGTTTGTATGTGTACTCTTTGTTCGAGCTTACCTGTGCTTTCAAGCCCAGATCCAACGCCCCACTAACACAAACCAGCGATCACTTTGATCCGAATTAATTTGGCAGATGAATACACTCAACTTAAAAGCTCACATCCATACACAAATATAATCATCCCAAACACGTAGTTTAATATAAACATTCAGAAGACGTAGTTCAATATAATCATTCAGAAGACGTAGTTTAATATAATCATTCAGAAAACGTAGTTTAATATAATCATCCCGAACACGTAGTTTGATATAATCATTCAGAACAAGTAGTTTGACATAATCATTCAGAACACGTAGTTTAATATAATCATTCAGAACACGTAGTTTGATATAATCGTTCAGAACACGTAGTTTGATATAATCATTCAGAACACGTAGTTTCTGTACGTGCTTTATCCGAGTTTGTTGCGCACCCCAGGTTAGATCTCCTGTCTCAGGTACACAAGAGTGATCACTCTGACCCGAATGAAGTAGGTATATAGAAACACCACCGAAACCCTCGGTGGTACACCCCTTATACGCATACACCCACTCCTGAATGAAACCCTTCCGAAAAACTGGGTTTATACGCGCACCATATGCAAGTATACCTGTGCACTCAACGCTAGACCCAAAGTCCCGGCCACATTGGAGCGATCACTTCGACCCGTGAGATGATGAGGAATAACGTCATCTGCATCGAACTCAAACGACAGCTTATCTACCGGGCGCTTGACCTAGGTAAGGTATAGCGGTCAGTGGATGAATAAATATGCATGTACCAATGCATGGATGTACATGATACTAGGTATAAGAGTACCGGTACTGATTGTTAGCAAGATGAAGAAGGATTTTGTATATGTCAGGGCTCAATGTGGATATATATATATATATTTGCATACATATACACATACTCATATATATATATATGCATACATATATGCATACTCTTTTCAAACATGTATACAGGTGTATACACACACATATATATATATACATATATATATATATATATATATATATATAGTAAGTATATACATACACACACACACACACACATATATATATATATATATATATGTATATATATATATATATATGTATACTTATATTATTATATGTAGTGTAGATAAGATATATATATATATATATATATATATATGTGTGTGTGTGTGTGTATGTGTTTGTGTGTGTGTGTGTATTTCGCCATAATCACTCACCTGTCCTAAAAACCGGTCCTTTGCAGAATATGGCACTCGGGGTACGACCGATGTCTCGCTGGGGTGTGAATTCGGGTCTACGCTGACCCAAATACTCACAGTGACGTCACCGTGGTATGATTGTGCCAATTCTAATTTCATTTTGGTCTCGAACGTCGGGTCTGAGACATTTCCACTTACGTCACAGGCCGTGACCTAAAAATAGATTTCAATAAACGAGTGTGTGTAGCGCTGTGACCTATAAATAGTTTTAAATTAACGAGTGTGTGTAATGCCGTGATCTATAGATAGCTTTCAGTTGGCGAGAGTGCGTGAAGACTAGTTAAACTCACACAATATGAGGGAGACCCAAATCAGACTGATTTTGTATGAGTCTATCTTCATTTTCTGGAACATACCAGCTACTGAGTGCATGTGAGCACTTGGCATACGATAGTAACACGCCACCTAGACAGACAGGTCATTCACTTACACACGCTGTCACATACACATCCATCCAAAATACACATGCCAAGATATACAATTAGTTACAACAGACAGATCATTTACATACACACGCTGTCACATACACATCCATCCAACATACATATGCTAAGATATACAACTAGTTACACATGCTGACATGTACACATACATCCAACATACACATGTTTACTACACACTTACTTACACATGCTGTCACATACACATACATCCAATATAAACATGCTATGATATACAAATAGCTACACATACTGACATGCACACATACCTTCAACATACACAGGTTAACTACACATTCACTTACACATGCTGTCACATACACATACACACACAGCTGTTTACCTGGCACTGAGACCCTCCGCTGGACTCATAGTTTAAGGCACAGTATATGCCTCGCCCCTTCTTGCCGACTTTTACTTTCTCCAGCAGCCCTGTTAAGTAAAACACCACACAAACCCAACAGCGCATTAGTTCAAACTGGGAGTATAGTACGTACCACACCAATACACATTGAAAGTTCTAAAACCCTAAAAGTAGAAAAGCTAAAAGTAGCAAAGAAGGTATATGGGGGAGTAGAGATTGAAGGACGACTGTTGCTTCTACGGTGTTTGTATGCACCACAGTACGAGATGTACCAGACAATACTAGACCACACTGTGGTGTGTAGTCAAGTGATAGTCAACCAAGCACAGGGGAATTTACTACCGTCTTGTGACTGTAGATGGCCATTGATATGGAATAGATAGTTGTTGATTGGTGACATAGTAAACTATTCACACATGATAGCATGTAGCGATTGAACAAAAATAGAATTCATATGAAACCTTGAATTCATTGTTGTTCGCATATGCATAAATGCACCATATGTAAAACTATATACATACATATCATATCGTG